TTCATAACCTGGTACCTTTCAGTCCACAGGCCAACGCTCTATCCACTGAGCCAAACCGGTTTCGGCAATAATAACATATTTTTTTTTAAACGCCGCCGTAGTAGGGAAGGAAGGCGGCGAGGTGGCAGAACAGCGTCTTTCCCGTGCAGAGCCTTCCGCGGTGCCATGTGCAGTCTCCTTAAGAGAAGGCGAGGCCCGGAGCACAGGACAAGGTGCCCAGTCACTCAGCCTGAGACACACGGTCACAGCACAGACCCCGCTCCCACGTCCGGGAGGGCCACAGCGGGGGACACGCTAACAAGCCTCGAGGACACGGTGCTAAGGGGAGCGGTCCCGTCACGAAAAGGCAGGTGCCCGGGGCATCCACTTCCAGGAGACAGGACGTAGAATCGCGGTCCCGGCGCCAGGGGGTGGGGTGGGTCTCATCATTCCCCCGCAGAGGAGATGATGAGAAAGATCTGGAGACAGTGGGGGTCAGTGCGTTCCCTGCCCGACTGCAGCGCAAAGAGGGTGACCGTGGAGGGCTGTGTGTTAACATAATGAAAAGATTGTGAAGGACACGTGAGATGTGGAGGTTCCCTGGGTGTGGCTTCCTGGGTGGAGGCCAGCCTGAAACCACGGAAATGACCTCGGTCTGGCCCTTTGATTCAGTCTCACCAGAGGGGCTGTTTCTCAGCGGGAGCAGGAACGTGCCAGTCACGTTGTCAGGCCTCCGTGTGTGGGTGTTAGGGCCAGATTTCGCCTCGCCACAGGCGGCCTTCACCCAGGGCCAGAAGAGAAGGGATTTCTTGGATCAGTGTGTCTGCCCCCAGCGACCTCCTGTCCTTTTCAGTTCGTTTTAAATCCTGCTCTTCTGGCCAGGGTGATTCCAGCTCTTAGCAAAGAGCATTTTACATTTTAACCAACAATCCTGGGCCGCTTTCAGATCTGTTAACTTGAGGGCGAGTTCTTTCTAAGGCCTCCTGACCGCAGGCTGCAGGGGGGTGGCGGGGGGATATTCCTCAGTGCCGTGCACCTTCGGGGAACCCTTGCTCCCCGGGAACCAGGGCTCCCTGGGCCTTCGATCCTAAGGAGAGAGACAGTGCCTGTGGCGGCCCTTGGCGAGCACGGCACAGCCCGTCCGATCTGTTTGTTTCCATCCCAACGTCACCGTGAATTAGCGGCTCCGACTCCCGGGCTCCTGGGAAGATGCCAGCGCTGCCTCCGTCACAGCCAACCGTGAGGTGTGGGAAAGCGGTGGGTTCCTGCGGAGCCCGTGGAGAAAGCAAGGGCCTGTGAGAGGCAGGGCTGCAGACGCCGGAACCGGCAGGGAAATAATTGCAAGGTGGCATTTCGGGGTGGGTTCATTTCCTCCCGCATTTTAATGACCGACAGAGAAGATATAAAAATGTCATTTATAGAGGAACTCTAGCATCTTGTTCTCCTGGTTATTGTCATGGATCAAATGGCACACGCAATATGATTTTTTTTAAAGGTTTTTTGCTAAACACTGTAATCCGTCTTTCGTGCTACAGACCGCGTGGTCACTGCGCATCTCACACTCAGGTATGCGTGGATAGAAGTCAAACGGGAGGAAACGCGGCTCTTTCCCCTCCTGACAGCAAGGCAGGAACCGTTACACACTCCCTCCCAGGAATTTGCCCGTTCTGTTTACTTTGACCAGTTTTTAACTGAAAGTGGCTATTTTTCAGGCACGGAGGTGGTGTTGGTGAGGACAGTGAGGGGCCCTTGGGGATTCAGGGTGTGAGGGGCAGTTGTTAACCCTCTAGCTTCGTCTACCTCTGTTCACCACCCAACCAGCCCAGGCTGCCCAGTGAGGTCAGGAGGCGTGGACCTCTGCTCAGCTCGGCCTGTGTCGGGGTGGGCGGGCCGTGGCCAGGGCTGCCTGTGGGGATGAGGGCCCTCCTCCCGCAGGCCCAACCAAGTCCTCCTCCTCCTCTCAGCCCACTGGGCCCTTTATGCTCGGACTTTGTTCTCCGCTGCGAGGAGCATTGCGAACGCAGAACCTGGCTTCTCAGCAAGGACTTCGGGCTTGTCGAACTCGACCACCTGGAGGTCAGGGAAGGAGAGCTGCGGTTGTCAGAGAATATCCCTCCCCCAACCCCCAAGAGCCCAAACCACTGAAACCCGGGGATGCCAACGGCTGGCCGCCGTACCTTCCCTTTTTCCATGACCAGGACGAGGTCGCAGTTGAGGACCGTGTTGAGGCGGTGGGCAATGGTCAGCACCGTGCAGTCTCTGAAGGCGTCTTTGATGGTGTTCTGCACAAGGCTGTCGGTCTTGGAGTCCATGGAGGCGGTGGCCTCATCTAGGAGAATGATCTGTTGAGGAAGAAATGTGGTAAAAGTCCAGTAAGCCAAAGCTGTACCTAGAGGTACATTCATAGTCTTAGCTCAATTGATTGATTGGTTGATTTAGAAGGACTGAAAAGTAATGCACTACATATCCATCTCAAAAGGTTAGCAAAGGAATGGCAAAAGTAAGAGTCACATCACACCACCTTCATCTTCTTCAGAGGGACTGGCTGGGGAACAAGACTGCAGTCTTTACTCCTCGTTGGAAGTGGTTTATTCTAATCCTGCAAACTGGTAGGAAGAAGCACCCGGGACTGTCTCCCACGCTAACAGCGAGTCAGCATGCAGTTTAACAACAACACTCACATGAGCTTCCTGCTATTACAAAGTCACACAAACTCAGAGGCTTAACCCAGCACACATGCATTATCTCGCAGCTCTGGGAATACAGAGTCCCACAGTCAAGGTGTTGTCCGGGCCGTGTTCCTTTTGCAGGCTCCCGGGAGGAAACCGGGCCCTTGCCTCTCCAGCTTCCAGACGCAGCCCACGCTCCTTGCCCGCGGCCACTTCCCGGCACCCTTCTCACCTCCACCCCTGTCAGATCTCCTCCTCTCCCGCCTCTGATGAGGCCCGGGGCCACCCGGGAATCCGAAGACTCCCCGCGTCTCAGAACCCTCGACTAGTGGACTAGGCGGCGCCCCTTTCCCTGTGAGGTCACACGGTTCCGGGGGTCAGGGCGTGGGCCTCTTGGGGGGCCGGGGCACTATCCTGCCTCCACGGTGCCACTCTGCCCGGCCCTGGCTACAGCGCTCAGCTTCCCGGGCTCTGGTGGTTTCCCTGCTTGGCGGTCGGCCCTGAGAGGCTGCCCCTCCTGCCGTTAGCGCACGTAGGGAGCACACCCAAGGCTCCACTTCTCCCAGGGCCCGGGGATGAGACTAAGGCACCAGCACCCCTCCTTCTGCCCGCAGGCAGGGCTATCCCCGTCCCTATGCAGAACCAGCAGGCATTTTGCCATCCTCAGACCCTCGCATTCCTGACTGTCCTGGGCTCTGTGTACAGACCCCGAACCGTCAGGGACAAAGGGAAGATGCTGGGAGGGAGCTTTCTCAGACCCGGACAGCGGGGGATGGAGAGAGTCCCAGAGCGGGGCTCCCGGGAGCGACCGGCCGGAGAGGCAGGTGCCATTGTGGAAATGCTGCCATTGCTCAGCAGAGGGGAAAAGGGATCGGTTTTCCAAGGGATCAGTGGCCCTCTCTTCGCTGAGGGACAAAGGTGGCCCAGCGCGCACCCCCCCCCAACCCCGTGGAGGGTGCTGTGGGAAGTGCCTCCGCCCCATCCTCCTTCTCCGTGGCCCCTCACTTTGGAGTCGCGGAGCAGGGCCCGGGCCATGCAGAGCAGCTGCCGCTCCCCGACGGAGAAGTTCTCGCCGTTCTCCGTGACTTCGGCCTGCAGCCCGTCCGGGAGCCGCATTATCTGTAAGACAGAGGAGGCCATTTGCGCTGGAGACGCGTGGACGCGTCCTGTGCCGTCTGTACTGATCGCCCCTCCTCCCGCATCCTCCACGGCTTCATTTTACTGCGGGAAAGAAAGCGAAAAACAACAGCCGCTCAGCACTGCACGCGGCTTCAGGGAAGACGGGGAGTGGGCGGACACTGATCATTTAGGATCGCAGCGTGATTCACCCGTCGCCGCCTGGAGAATGCAGATGAGGCCGATGGGCCGAGGAGCACAGCCAGGATTAACTCCTTCCAGGGCTTCCGCTTCCACGGACGGAATAGAAACGCTGACGGCCCGTGGGCGGCACGGGCGGCCACGCCAGCCTCCTGCCCGCGGCCCCTGGCGATGCCACGCCCTCTCCACCCGGGCCTCC